AGGTTAGGGAAAGTATCCTGCCAAGTTTTGTAGGCCTGATATAACGGAGATAAAACAATATAAATGCAGAGGCAAATCATTTATGTTAACATACTAGTTATTAGAAAGGTTCATTTGAAATTATTTGTTTTTCTTCTTCAAGAACTATATACCTGAGAGTTACATTGGGCTAATCCATACTCATAAGCCCCACCCCATTCAACAGTTCACATTAGCAATTAATTACTAAGGCCAAGATTGCATTGTTATTTCAGCTAAAACAACAACAACAACAAAAACAAAACCCCCAAGCTCTTTCATAAGAAGCAGAAGGCCTTTGAGAGCTCTGGATCCCCTGTGGGGAACAGATGTGAATCAGATTTCAAGGGGCTCAGGAAACCTTGAAGTACAGCCTGAGGCCTTTACTTCTGCTGGGGAAGAAGAAAGGTGAAAGCCCTTGCCTCTTTCCACCTGGGACACCAATACCCTACTCTGTCACCTAGTCCTAGGAATACTGAGCGCGGGACCATCACTACCGACTCTGAGACAGAAGGCAGTCGCGCACTCCGGGCCGAGGCACAGGGTATTTGATCTTCGTGTCAACCATCTCTGTGCCACGTGGTTGTGGGAAATGAAAAAGGAGCCGGCTGATGTTGCACTGTCGAAGCTTAGAACCACAGGCAGGTGCTCTGCAGCCCGCAGGTGACCATAAAAGCCATCCAGGCTTACCCTCTGCCCTAACTCGGCGGCCCCGGGGAGGTCTAACTGTCCCCAAGGAAGAAGCTGACAACATGGGCTATTTCTCATCTTATGAGGTCTTCTCCACATCCCTCTCTTTATTGTATCCCCTTTTGAGGGGGCCTCAAAATAGTATATGGATCTGGTTTATAGGATCGTTAGTAGAAAGAGGTCTTAGGTCTACAAAAAAAATTTTTAAAAATTAAAGCTGATGGGTCAGTGTTGATTTTTCACTTCATGTCCTGACAGCTTCCTCTTAGAAATAAGGGCCTCCAAGAGAGTCTGTTTCAGAGGGAGGTACTTCAATACCCTTTGTAATTCAGAAAGAAAAAAAAAAATTTCCTCATGCAAGTTGTCATGGCACAATGGAAGAGACCAGAAAAATCTGGTGAGATCATAGAATTTAATCACTCCTTTCACGCTCCTTTTCTTCTCCTTGCTTTCACTGAGCAACCTGCGTCTTCTAGCGATAGATTCACGAGACTCCCGCGGCATATGAAATAGGGTCCTCAGGCTCTTGCCAGCATGGCAGCCAGCTTTCCTTCCCACTGCTCTGGCTCACAATTGATTTCTGAACATGTCGATGCATAAAAACCATGGGCATTGACCACCAGTGATGAAAGGACACTATAATTTATCAGACACAATCAATGTTGACTTTCGTCTAAGAATGGGAATAAGCGTCACTCTGAGGGGGGAGTGGTGTGTTTCATCCGACCTGTGAAGAAGGCACTCCTTCCTCAGCAGTCCACATGTTCAGTCAGATTCAAAAGGAAGGGGAGAACGTTGAAGCCAGAAAGGCAAGTTTTGGGGAGACCCACGTAAGGCGAAGACTGTGCTCCAGAGGATTGTGTGGTTAAAGTGAATCCCAGCATCGTTGGCAGCGGTTGTACAGTGTTTGATTAGTGGTGTTCCGTGAGCCGAGTCCTGTGAGTTTGGCTCATTCTTTTATGCTCTCAAGTCTAGTCCACTACATAACTATGTATTATGATTTATATCCTTAAGAAAAAGAACTTAACTTGGCAGGCACACACACACAAAACCACAAAAAACAAAACAACAAAAACCCCCAAAAAACAGAGATAGTTTGCTTTAAGATACAATTCATCTCAGCTACCTGTGGATGGGAGGGGATCCACAAAGGCCCTACTCCTTAAGTTCAGTTCCCCAGCTGCCGCTAAGTAAGTTAAGTGGCACACATCAGATGCCGCTCAGTCAATGCCCCTGTGTTCACTGTTCTCTTTCACGATGCCCGGTAAGACGTGGGAAGTATAGGAACTGAGGCCTGTGGGTGGGAGGCAGGCCCCCTGGCTTTTGTTTAATTTTCAATCTGTTGCCACTTCATCGTAGTCACTCAGACAGGCACTTTACATGTCTAGTCCGACCTCGTTTGCACAAGAGGATTACAAAGACAAGACCTAGCATTTATTAAACATGTTAACTGTGTCGGGCACTGTGCCTAATAGCTTAATGTTATCTTCTTTAATCCCTACAGCAACTTTCCAAGGTAGATTTTATCTGCACGTTACAGAGAACATCGAGGCTCTGAGAAGGGAATTAATTAGCCAGAAATGGCCTAAGACTCAGGTGGTAGGTCTTAGCTGGACAACCTCCTCCTCGGTGTGGCCTTCTCCTTGTGTTGTTTGTAATGGTTGGATGGAAGCCCCGGAACAAAGAGCAAGCTAGGTGGCTTGGGCCACAGCAATGCACTGCCTGACAGTTCCGGGACGCTGGGTTAGGGTGTCGGCAGGGCTGGTTCCTTCTGAGGCCATGAGAGAGCCTCTGCTTCATACCTGTCATGTAGCTTCAGGTGCTTTGCTAACTGTTTTTGGTGCTCATTGGTTTGTGGCAGCAAGACTCCCATCTGCACATGGTATTCTCGGTATTTGTGAGCCAAGGTCTACTTTTTAAGATTTTGGTTTTATTGGATGAGGAGTCTACCTTACTCCAGGATGAACTCATCTGAACTAATACCATCTGCAATGATCTCATTTCCATACAAGGTCACATTCTGGGGGACTGAGGACTAGGATATAATTCAGTCCTCAACAAGGCCTGTAAGTCTGTTAAGGCTCTGTGACAGAAGTACGCAGGGTGACTAGTCCTAGGACATGGACAGTAGTCCCAGATAGTACCATGATTTCAGAATACATGAATGTTGCTTCAGTGGGTTATTAGTGCTGGTCCCTCAGAAACCTGAGAAATCAGACTTATCTGGGATGATCAGGAAATGACTTCTACAATGACAAGATTTGAACTTCATATGAAAGAATGGCAGCTAAGTCCTATATTGAGAGACTGTAGTCCCAGGAGGCTGAAGTGTGAGGAACCCAAGAGTTGAAGACAAGTCTGGACAACATAATAAGTGCATGGGTGCATGTACATGCATGGGTGCATGCTGCATTGTGCATGTGCATGCATGGGTGTGTACTGCATGTGTGCATGCTTGTGTGTGTGTGTATGTGTGTGTGTATGTGTAAGGGTACAGCTTAATTTACAAATCAATGGGGGAAAAGGAGGTATTGCCTCTGTGTAGAGCAGCATGTGCTTGACAGAAGTTGTGAGATATGAGAGGCATATAGAATAAGAAAATTGACTTACCCATGCAAGGGTTTAAAGCCTGCGCTTTATCCATAGGGATGAGGGGGAACGGCAGTGGCTGTGTGAATGGACGGGTCAGGGTGAATGCAGAGCTTTGGGGAATGTTGACGGGTGAAGGGTGGTACACACTGGACCATTTTTAAAAGAATGTGCTTTGGGTAGGAAAAGAGCAGGAAGAGGGCCTCCCACACAGAGGTACTGAAAACTGAGGCCTAACATGGCGGTCCGGTAGATGCCCTGGATGCTTGTAGGAGAATGTTACAGGCTAAGAAAAAAAAATTGTCCCACTACTTTTATCCTTCTAGACTCTTGAGACAAAGACACTGCCCTTTCAAGGCCTCTGTGGTCAAAACTTTTCTGTTCAATAACACACCAATAGGTGTTTTCCTGTTCAAAACAAATTACAGGTTTAATGGGTTTAGGAGGTAATGAATTAATTGGGATTGATAATATGATTTCAAACAGGCCCTGGGAGGAAACATAACACACTCAAATGACTAACCTCAAAACAGCTAGTAGATGACAGGCAGGGTTCGAGGGAACCACGGAGGAGGGTGCAATGGCCCTGGGCTGGTCCCACTCACTCACAAAGCCAGAGAGTGAAAGGGGACTCTGCCTGGAAGGTGACGCCCAGCAGCATCTGTGCCCTGAGAGGAGAGAGACACAACCAGGCCACAATAGCTTGGGCTGGGCAGTGCCAGGCAAATGAACATACTGGGAAACCAACCTCCCTTCACCAGACTCCAGGATGCTTCCTTCCTTGGCTCATCCAAATCCAGCTAGGGTCAAAGGTCAGGTGTCTGGCGCTTCAGAGCATCAGGTCTCCCAGGACACAGGACAGGGTGGGAACAGGACACAGTGGATGTGGAAGAGCAAATGGAAGGCTTCCAAGCACGGAGAACCTTCTGGTGTTTAATATGTTACTACACTAATGGACCTACAAAAAAGGCTCTGGAAGGCAGTATTCTCAAACTACATTTGCTATGCAACTCTTTTTTTTTTTTTTTAAGGACTTGTGGGACCAGTGATCAAAGGAAAAGACATTGGGAAGCTTTGATCTGTGGGGTGAAGTCTAAGCTTCCTGTATTGCCTGTATTGTTGAAGCTTCTTTTAGATGAAAAGTGTCAGAAAGCAATCCCAAGCTAGCTGAAACAGCAAGAGAATTTTCTGGTTTCCAGAGAGATGGCAAGTCCAGGAAGGGTCACCAGTGCAGGATGCACCAGCTCAAAGTGTGTCCAGCACTCTGTCTGTCCCTCCAACATCGCACTCTGCCTCGCTCAGCTCAGCTTCACTCTACGTGTGGGCTCTCCCCAGGAGATGGTCGGTGCCAGGGCTGCCTGCTCCAAACCCACACGCTCTCCCGCCCAGCAGTTCCAAGAAGGAGGGCCTTTGTTCTTCCATGTCCGTGTGCGCATCTGATGGGGGCTGATTGCTCCGGCTGGGGTAGAGGGCCCTGGGCTGAGCTCAGCCGTGGGGAGGATGACTGACTGTCTTCACAGACTCGCCGGGCGGGGTCCTACAAGGCGGGGAAGGACCACTCTAAAGAAAAAGACATGAGGATCACGGAAAAGCATGGAGACTTTGGTTCAAACTAAAACCAGCCCAACTGTGACCCACGGTGTTTCTTAGCAGGCCTTCCTCTGAATTTGGCCTCAAGCTGCCAATTCCGATGTGCGGCACGCCACTCTCCTGTATGGCCTCCCTCATCTCGCCGCCCTGGTTCACTTCCTGTCGCTCAGCTATGCCATCAACTGCCCTGTCTTCCCCGTGGCCCCCTCTGATTTGAATTCTTGCCCTTCCACACCCAGAGTGCAGTGTGGTCTTCCTCTTTGTAACTCTTATTGCATCAAAACGTCTATACTGTCCACTGGGTATTCACCACGCAATGCCTTTTCTTGTTATTGTCCGTACACATGTGTCTCAAATCCCCACAGACATATCCGCACGGCAAACTTGAGCTCCGGAACCTTTGTTTTGCTTTGTTATTGGGAGGGGAAGGTCTCATTATGTAGTTCAGCCTGACCTGGAATTGACTCTGTAGCCTCGCCTGGCCTGGGGTTCAGCATCGTAACTTGCGCCCGAGCCTTCTGAGTGCCTGGGTTACAGGTACGCCGCACCAGCCCGAGGATGTCCTCTTTAGACTTGGTGTCTGTCTCCCTTGCTCGGCACGCTGCGGGCGCTAACCAAATGTGTTTTAGTCGCTATTTCAGAAACCGAAATAACACCTTACCTTTTCTCGCCTGCTGGCACGTCAGTGCATCACGCCCTCTGTGCTGACTGGTACAGTGGCCTTCAAATGTTCTTACTGGATTTGGGGCTCAGTTTCCTGACAGGAGCATGAGTGCTGATGTCATGGAAAAGAATAGCTTGTTCATTCATAGATGCACTCATTCACTTGCTCAGTACCCACCAAGCATCTCTACAAACACAGAGCCAGGTGATAGGAAGCCAAAAAGGACACAGGAAAAGCAGGCAGGTCCTTATGGACATTAGGGGAAAACTGTGTGGAATGTACAGGAAGAGTGAACTTTTTATAGAACACTAGGTGTCAAGACATTTTGCCAGTTCTCGAATGAAGGGAGGGAGCTTGGCAATATCTAAAAAAAAAAAAAACTACATACACATTTCACGTTGGCCCAGCACTCATATTCCGGGAATCGACTCCCACATGGAACTGCAAACGTATGAAACAACATGTGTGTGAGGGTTTCCCTGTGGTAAACTTATAACAGAAAAACTAATAAACACCTTTAATGGCTAGCCTCAGAAGACTAGTCAAATAAATTATAAGGGAAATTAACATACATTATTTAAAACAATATCATTATATTGATTTTATAGTTGTAAATATGGGAAAATTTCAAATATGGGAAACATCGTTACAGGTCAAGTGAAGTGATTCCCATTACATAGTGTTAAAAATAAAAGAGAGAGAGAGAGAGAGAGAGAGAGAGAGAAAGGTACAGGATTGAATATAATATGCTACATAGGAAGAATTTTTGCTAAAATTATGGTTCTAATCCTAAGTAAGTAATCAAAAAAATCCAGAAATGCAGTACATTTTGTAAGACAAATAGTCTGGGTTCCTAAATATGAACTAGAATACAGTATGTCTTAGTTAGGGCTACTAGATTTTTTTGTTTGATTTTTTTTTTATTTATTGCTATAATAAAACACCGTGACAAAATGCAATTTGGGGAAGAAAGGTTTTATTTGGCTTATGCCTCCGCATGCATAGCCTGTCACTGAAGGACAGGAACTCAAGCAGGGCAGGGACCTGGAGGCAGGCGCTGCTGATGCAGAGGCCGTGGAGGGGTGCTGCTCACCGACTTGTTCCTCATGGCTTGCTCACCTTGCTTTCTTATAGAACCCAGGACCTCCAGCCCAGGGCTGGAGCCAAATGGGCTGGGCCCTCCCCCATCAGTCACTAATTAAGAAAATGCTCTACAGGCCTGCCTGCAGCCTAATCTTGTAAAGGCATTTTCTCACTTGGGGTTCCTTCTTCTCAGATGACTCCAGCTTGTGTTAAGTTGACATACAATTAGCCAGCACAAAATGTCATTAAAGGAAAAATACAATGAAATCCAGGACACTGTTGTAAATTAAAAGAGACAAAAAACAAAACAAAACAAACAAACAAAAAAAAACAGACAAACATACAGGCAAAACCCACCAAATGCAGTAATGATATCTGACTGGTGAATCTTAAGAAAAAAATTAAATGAAATAAAAAAGATACTTTAAGGAAAATTGAGAAAATTTTAAAATGAGCTACTTATTGAACGGATTTTCTTAGCATGATAATACTACTGGTGTTGCACAATAGCAAAAGAAAATGAGAAGGATGAATAGATAAATAGGCAGGCAGACAGACAGACTGGCAGATAAATGATAGATACAGAAAGAGACGGACAGGTAGATATAGTGATACATAGTAATAAATAGAAGGCACATAGAGATGATGTTTATGTATCAAGTTGTTAACAATTGGTAACTTTAGAAGAAATGCAGACATTAACTTACCATTCTTCTTACTCCTCTCTGGGTTTGGAAACTTTAATTGTAAGTAACGGAAAGAAGAAAAAAATAACAAGAAATATGTACATTAGAACATTTTTAATTCCAAGTAGAATTTAAATCCAAACAGGCTTCTCTGAAAGGGAGGCTTAGATGATGGGGTCATTTTCTCTCTCTCAGGAGACTTCTGTTCGGCTTGCTGTTTCATGGAACAGAGGTGGCAAACCATCCATCAGTGATCAACCCCCATAAGAAAAGACGGAAGGCCAGAGATGCAACATAGTGTTGCGCTCTGATTGGCCCAAACTAGATCTCTTGTCCCAGTGGGTAGATGCTGCGACCTGCGCAGCTGGAGCACGAAATCCGGTGAGGGGCGCCGAGGTTGAACAGTCTCTAGACACCCAGTCTCAGTTCGTCAGGGAAGCAGCTCTCTTTATTTGTACCAACATGGGCTTATATACCCCTCCAACAGCAGGGGTCAAGGAACCACTACTCTGTATCTAGAGGCAAGCCAGACACTGTTTTCCAAACAGGAAACACCACAGGGGAACTGATCCCTAGCACCCTCCGGAACCCAACTGCACATTTTTCACACAGACATCTTAACTGGGACAGGACAAAAAAGGGCATTTAAGATAAAGGCAGCAAACTTACTGCTGCTGACAAGTAAAGTCACCCATATGCATTGACCTCTTTCTTGAAGGCAAGAGAGAAACGGCTCCCTGAAGTACAGCCCAGGCACTGTTACCCAGAGGAAGGCAGATGGGTATGCTGGCCAGTGCCTCCCCACTGGAGAAAGCAGTGAGAACAGCGGCGTAACATTAAGGAAAATGAAAGATAATCAGCATTCAATAGTACTGCTCCATTAAAGAGTCATAACCCACACCTGGTCATCCACCCCATGACTTGGGGTGACGGAAGATGATTGCCCCACCCTTCCCTTGAACACCTACAGTAGAGGAGTAAACTGAGAAGCAGATAACTAGATTGGATCTGATCTCAGTTGTCTCCAACAGGAAGTTGAACGATCTATCCACTGTACTTGAACCTAAAGCCAAAGTCTCCATTTGAATGGACCTTGACAAATGAATGGAATAAAAGTCTCAATCTGATCACTAATTACAAGACTTAAAACTACTGATAGAGACCACCAAGGGCTTTCTCGGTGCTCAGTGGGAATAGTGTGTGTGTGTGTGTGTGTGTGTGTGTGTGTGTGTGTGTGTGTGTGTGTG